CTGGCCAGTGCTGGTGGTACCAGGACCCAGCAGTGGCTGAGACAGGGGCTCACAGTCTGATGATGGGGTGAGACACGTCCCCAGACAGTGAGGAAATGGAGTAGAAGCCAAGGGGTGGCAGACACTTCTCAGTATAAACACTTTCTATATTGCTTTTGATTTTTGAACTATACGAACATGTTACCTGCTCTTTAACAAAAGGAAGTTTAACCATTAAATATTGCTAAGAAAAACGAAAGTGCAGAGACTCAAAGCCCCTGCTCCTCGCTGCCTGCTCCTTATACCTCCCCAGAGGTCACCACTGTCTAGGGTCTGGAGCCCCCACAGTCCCCTGCGGTTCACTCCTGGACACAGATGTTCAGAAACAAGCTCCTGCTTCTTTCTTTTCTATATAAATAAAAATAGGACATTGTTTGGTTCTGCCGCTTCTCAAAGGTTCTCACTTACCGACGCTGCAGTGAAGGCCCGTGCAATTGTGGCTCTGCACACACAGGCGACGATAAGCAAAGAGGGTAAATTCCAAGTGAAGGAATTTCTGTGTTAAAAGACGTGTCCCTTTTCTGGTTTTGTTTTGTTTTGTTTTGTTTGAGACAGGGTCTTGCTCTGTCTCCCAGGCTAGAGTGCAGAGGCATCATCACAGCTCACAGCAACCTCAAACTCCTGGGCTCGAGCAATTGTCCTCCTGCCTCAGCCTCCCAAGTAGCTGGGATTACAGGTGCACGCCACCACACCTGGACCACACCTGGCTAACCTGTCATAGAGATGGGGTCTCGCTCTTGCTCAGGCTGATCCGGACCTCCTGGCCTCAAGCGATCCTCCTGCCTCAGCCTCCCAAAGTGCTAGGATTACAGTTGTAACACTTTTACTATAGTTTTTTTTTTTAAGTTTAAAGCTATAATTTGTCAGGATTTCATTCTGTTTATGGTGTGAGGAAGGGATGTCTTTTTTTCCCCAAATGGAGAGCCAATCTAAACGGTCTTTAGAAACCTAGACATGGAATTAATTATTCAGCCAGATTTTATATCTAACTCATAAATGACGAGTACAGTCCTGAGAATTTTACCTATATCACCTGTTTTCATGCCTACGATCCTACAAGAAAGATGTTAAGACCCCATTTTACAGATGAGGAAACTGAGGCCTAGAGAGAGGCAGTGCCTGGACAGACTCACACAGGAGCTCATGGAAGGAGGGGAAAGGGCTGGGCAGGGTGGGATGGGGAAGGGGAACAAATCTCAGGGTAGCGCCTGAACCAGGCAGGGAGGAAGCTTCCATCTCACCTCCAGGCGAGGACCAGGGTGCAGTCGGCCAGGATGCACATCTTAGCCAGCTCCTTGAGGGCCTGCTGAGGATCTTTCTGGAAGAAGAACGTCAGAATTAGAGACCTGGAAGAAAGGGAGGAAGTATAGTCTGAAAGCACAATAGCTTAGGCTGCCATGAGCCTTTCACTCAGTTGCCATTCCTTAAGCTCCTACTGGGTACCCAGCCTGTGCTGGGCAGTGCCAGGACCCAGCAGTGACAAAGACAGCCCCGGCCCTACCTCCCAGGCTCAGTCTAATGAGTAGGACAGACTTGTCCCCAGACAGTGATGACCTGGAGTGGCCAGGACTGGGATAGGGGAGCCAGAGGCTGGCCTGAGGCTGCCTGGGGGTTCAGGGAGGGCTTCCTGGAGGAGGAGACATCTAAGACCCAAAGGAGAGAGTCCTTCCCTTGAGGAAGCGCAATCCACTCAGTATGGGAGGGAGGATGTGAAATGAAAGTGTGATTGCATGCAACTTACAGATAGACCTGGACAGCTGTGTGGAGGGCAGGTCAAGCAGGGCCTCATGGGCCATGGAAGGGAACAGAACTTTCTCCCAAGGTACTGGGGAGCCATGGAGGGGTTTTGAGTAGGGGAGGGCTGTCATCAGATCTGTGCTTTTGGAATACCCATGTGGCTGCCGTAAGGATGGGGAGGTTGAGACTGGAGGTCATGAGACCAGGAAGGAGGCTGGGGCAGGGACCCAGGCAGGAGAGAAGGGGGCCTGGTAGGGCAGAGGCTACGGGGGACAGAAAGGCTGAAGCAGCCTCAAGAGACATTCAGATGGCAGGGGCTGGGGCCAGTTGGAGGGGGTTGGAGGAAGGAGGAGACAGATAATTTTGCCCTCCCTGCTCCCTGCCAACACAGGGTGCCTTCGTGACCCCTGCCAATCCCAGATGTGAAAACTGCTTCCTCACTAAGGTTTTAACCTTCATTTCTTCTTGGAAGGGATTCAACAGACCAATGCACAAGCTCCAGGCCCAACACTCCCCATTTCCCAGATGGGGACAGAAAGGCCAGCAGGGGAGCGACCCTGCTTACCACGTCCACCTGGATGAGCAGGACCCGCAGGGCGAAGTTCTTCCCCAGGCTCTGCAGCCGCTGATGGATGTAGTCTGGGTGGAGGTTGTGGTAGCGGAGGCTGGAGGGGGCAGAGAGATGAGGAGTCAGGAGGTCTCAGTGTCCTGGAGACCCCGGAATCCCTTCCGCACTTTCACGGGAATGCGGAGGGCTGGGATGCCAGCAGCCACCAGCACAGCGGCACAGGCGCACCGCCTTGCCGGGACCTGAGGCCCAAACAGGTTAAGTGACTTGCCACAGTGACGCTTCCAAGAAGACGCGCAGTGGGGACTGGCAGCGAGGGCTGCTTGGCTGTGGTTCCCGAAAGGTCGGGCCCCTGGCTTCTTCATGGAGGAAGGAACAGACTTGGGCTTCAGGGGGAGAACAGGGGCTGGGGGCCCTAGAGGGTGTGGCCCAGGGGATGCTGGTCATCGGAAACAGGGCCCCTCCCCAGCCCGTCTGCTCTGGCCTCAGAGGGCGCTGGCAGGGAGCGGGCTGGGGGGGCTTCTCTACCAGGGAACTAGGACCAGCTCTCACAGCCTGCAGGAGAGGACAGGAACTTAAAAGTTTCACTTCTAAAAAAAATAAAAAAAAAAATTCACTTCCTCTGTCTGGCCGTGTCTGCAGGGAGGTCCCTGGAGAGCAGAGGAAACTTGTTTAACCGCAGTGGAGGCTGGAGAAGTCCTGGCTCTTGCCAATTCAAGCCAGGGGTGTCTGGGACACAAGTGATCCAGCCCCTCCTCCCTCAGACCCAGGGGTCCGGGCCCCCAGCTCTTGTAGCTCTGGGCACCTTCAGGCCAAGACGCCTTCCTGCGACACAGGGTCACATATAGGCCGACAGCCAGCAGGGCTGTGCCGAGGTTTCCCATGGAATGCCCTAGAATACTGGAACATGACCCTCCCGGGCCTCATGGGGCACCCTTCCTGAAGGGTGAGGTAGCACCCGGAGCTCACCTGAGGAAGAGGGCACAGGTGCTCTGGCCCAGCACGTAGTCAGGGATTACGTCGCCAAATTCCCAGGGCACATTGCGCACGAACTTCAGCACAGGGTTGCCCCTCTAGGGAGGGAGGAAGGGCGGAAGCCATCAACAGGGATGACCTTTGGCCACCGCAGGGACCCTACACAAATACCTGTTCCCCACACCCCCCACCTCCCTTCTACCCCCTCGTGCCTCGGTCTCCTCCAGCTTCTCCTCCTCAGCCAGGATGTCCCTGGTGCCCTGACCCAGGCCCCTCCCCGCCCCCACCGCCAGGCCTTTCCTAAAGGGTCCCAGGTCTGTCTCCAGCTCAGCCCTCTCCCCACCCTCAACCTGTGTGTCCTGTGGTCCACGGGACACCTCCCCCCGATGCGTCCACCCCACTGTGTCCAAACTGACCTCAGTATCAGCCCCATCCCTGCTCCTCCTCCCGGCTCCGTCTCGGAGGCCGTCCAGAGACCCAGGCTCCTCTGACGCGTCTCTCCCCCTCCTCGGGTGGGACTTCACCTTCTAAATATCCCGCAGCAACTCTCCTGCCCCACTGCCACGGCCCCTGCCCGGGCGCCACCCGCTTCCTTCTGCCCGCCCTCCACATGGCAGCCACAGGGATCTTCCTATAGCACAAACCTGCCCTCTAAGCCTCGCTGTAGCTACCCAGTGCCCTCAGCGTGGTCCGCCCAACAGGCTCTCGTCTCTGAACCTCCCCACACTCTACCCAGATGGGCTCCACAGCCCAAGACTGAAATCCTTTGAGGGAGGTAAGCAGCTCTAATTCATTCAGTAAGTATTTATTAAGTACCTATTGTGTGTCTCAGTGCTGGGGATACAGCAGTGACCAAGACAAAGATCCTTACGCTCACAGGGGACACAGACATTCTTATGCTGTCACAATATGTTTGGTTAGCCAGGCGTGGTGGTTCACACCTATAATCCCAGCACTTTGGGAAGCCGAGGATTGCTTGAGGCCAGGAGTTTAAGGCCAGCCTGGGCAACATAGCAAGACCCCATCTCTTAAAAAAGAAAAAAAAGTTAGCCAGGCATGGTGGCATGCTCCTGTAGTCCCAGCTACTTGGGAGGCTGAGGCAGGAGGATCACTTGAGCCCAGGAATTCGAGGTTGCAGTGAGCTATGATTGTACCACTGCACTCCAGCCTGGGCAACACAGTGAGACCCTGTGCCTAACCAAAAAAAAAAAAAAAAAATTGGTCTCTGCCCCCAGTTCCTGACATAGAGCTTCTGAAATCCTTGTAGACAAGGGCACTAGGAAAACCTTTTGTTCCAACAGTTGGTCTTTGACCTCGGGTTCCTGAGACAGAGCTCCTAAGTTTTGTCATTTTCTGAGTGATAACATGTGACACAGAGCTCCCAAATCCCTTGGAATTTCCTGGGTGATAGGAGCGTGCTGTGTTCTCATCAGGCCACTCTGGGGCTCCCTGACAGCCTCAGGATGGGGGCTGGTTGCCAGGGGAGCCAGCCACGTGATTAGAGGGTGGGCCCCATCAGCCCCACCTCACCCCCACCTCTGGGGAGGGCAGAGGGGCTGAAGGTTGAGTTACTCAATCACCAATAGCCAATGACGTAATCAGTCACGCCTACGTCATGGAGTCTCCATAAAAACACAAAAAGGCAGGGTGCAGAGAGCTTCCGGATAGCTGAACACTGGAGGCTTCCGGAGGGTGGCGCCCTGGAGAGGACACGGAAGCTCCATGCCCCTTCCCCGTGCGTCACCCTAGCATCTCCTTGGCCGGCTGTTCATCTGTATCCTTTATCACACCCGTTGTAATAAACCGGTAAACGTAAGCAAGCGTTTCTCCGAGCACTGTGAGCCACTCTAGCCAAGTAATCGAACTCAAGGAGGCGGACGTGGGAACCCAACTGACAGCCCATCAGCCAGAAGTATAGGCGACAACCTACGACTCGCAAATGGCATCTGAAGTGGGACGCGGTCTTGTGGGACTGAGCCCGCGATCTACGGGACCTGACGCGAATTCCGAGTAGCCAGTGTCATAACTGAATTGAATTAGAGGACACCCGGCTGGTGTCCGCTGGAGAACCGCGCGGTGTGCGGGGAAAAACCCCCACACGTCTGGTGTCAGGAGTGTTGTGTGCAGTGTTGTGTGAGAGTAGGAAAAAAGTTTGTTTTCCCTTCAAAGACATTCAACAAAATAACCTTGAGATGAATGTATAGTTACTGAAAGGGGCGGCCTTGCAAAAATAACAGGAAAATCCCGAATCCCACAATTTCCCCAGTGACGGTTAAAGATCCATCCTATGAGTTCTCTCACTCCCAGGCCCCCTGCAGGAGCTCTGTTTTGCACAACTTCTGAAAAGAGCTGAATGGACGGAAAAGAGATGTACATCTCTCTCTTTCAAAACCGTTTTTTGAGAATCTGCTTTTATGGAGCTCCTGAGTAAACAGCAGAAGAACGAGCTACAGCCTCAACCATATCTTGAGGACAGAGTCACATCTCCCGTGATAATCCTATCTCCAAAGAAAAGCAGGAAACCAAGTCTCGGACTTTGACATCTTTGCGGTTTTTGTTATCTACCTGCTGCCAAGAAGAAAGAAAGTAGCAGATGCAGCAGTTTCTCAGCTATACCCTGCCACTTGTACAACCTCCTTTAAAAAGCCCGAATAGGCCAGGTGCAGTGGCTCACGCCTGTAATCCTAACACTCTGGGAGGCTGAGGCGGGAGGATCACTTGACCTCAGGAGTTCGAGACCAGCCTGAGCAAGAGTGAAACCCAGTCTCTACTAAAAATAGAAAAATTAGCCAGGTGTGGTGGTGCTATAGTCCCACCTACTTGAGAGGCTGAGGCGGGAGGATCACTTGAGCCCAGGAGTTGGAGGTTGCTGTGAGCTAGGCTGATGCCATGGTACTCTAGCCCAGCGACAGAGCAAGACTCTGTCTCCAAAAAAAAAAAAGACAAAAAGCCTGGATAGCTGATTGTCGGGTCAGCACATTCTCTTCCTCTTTCCACCTCATGCTGGTCCCTTTCTCTTCCTCCAGGGAAAAGTAAATAAACCTTTTCTTTCTATCCTAATCTCTGTCTGGAGAAATCTTTCTCTAAACCCATGTGCACAGGCATGGCCGCCCTAACAGTTACCAAGTGAGGTGGAATTTGGTTCTGACAAGGGGATGGGGAGTGGTAAGAATAAAGGAGGCAGGAAGAGTCTACAAGGGACCTGGCCGCCCTAAGAGTTACCAAATGAGGTGGAATTTGGTTCTGACAAGGGGGTGGGGAGTGGTAAGAATAGGGGAGGCAGGAAGAGTCTACCGGGGACCGGAGTCCCACAAGGCCCTGGGCCTTCTGACCTCAGGCACCAGGAGCCTTGGAAGGGCTTCCAGCAAGCAAGGGGCAGGAACCAAGTTGAACTTTTTAAAACATTACTTTGTCCACTCCACGCCCACTAGAATGGCTAAAATCAAAAAGACAATGACAAGTTCATTAAATACATTCTGAATAAATGAACAAACCTGGGATCGGGAAACAGGGCCGCACGAGCACAGTCACAGCCCTAGTAAGACAGAGCTGGGCACCCTCGACCCACACACGGTCGTGAAACGAATGAACGAATGAATGGCACAGCTGAGGACAAAGCGGCTAGAACTCAGACTCCTTGTGCTACCCACCAGAGTCATCCCTGTGACAGCGTTTCCCTCCAGAAACCCCAAAGCCCCACTTCTCTGTGTCCCTCCTCACCTGCCGGGGGCTCACAATGATGCTGTTGGATTTTGTCCCCGGTTTCGGGGCCTGGTTGGGGGTCTCTCCTGCCAGGGGTTCTGGCCCCGTGGGGCACGTGACTCCAGCGCCTCCCAGAGGTCGTGAGATGGCATATTCGGCGTAGGTTTGAGGGGTCGCCTGGGCTGAGGTGTCCACGGTGGGAAGGCTCCGTGTGGACTTGAATAAGGGCTTGGCCTGTGGGGAGAAAGAAGCTGTGGAGGGGACCCCGGAGGGAACACAGGAGCCCCTGTGAGTCCGTCCCCCTTCCTCAGGTTGGCCCATACTCTTTCCTCCCCATGTCCCTTCCAGAGGCAACGCCATAAGGGCTGGGAACTCTGAATCCAGCCCTTTCTCCCCACCTCTTGCCTCCGCCCTGGTCTCACCCACCATCCCCTCTCCCTTGGGCCACTAAAGTCACCTCCTCACCAGCTCCCTGTCTACACCCTCGCCCCCCAACAGTCTGTGCCCTACAATAAGTCATCATGTCCCTCCTCTGCTCAGAGTCCTTGGGTAGCTCCTGCCTCCGGGTAAAAGCCAAAGCTGTCACCACAGCCCATGAGGCTCTAGATCGGGCCCTGCCTCCCTGTCCCAGGGACCATGCCTCCTACCCCTTTCCCCTGCTGTCTCTACTCCCACTCCGCTGGCCTTCCAACTCGTCTGGCTCTCTCTGACCGCAGGGCCTTTGCAGTCTGTTCCCTCTCCCTGCAGATGTCCGCAGCTCACTTCCTCACCTCTTTTACGTCTTTGCCAAGACGTCACCCGGTCGGCAAGGCCTTCCCTTGACCCTCCTATCTAAGGAAGCTCCTCTCCCTACGGCACTCTATATCCTTAGCCCACTTTCTCTTTCTTCACAGCATGTGGCAGCCAATACTCAGCACCAGTGGATTGTTTTTCTGTGGGAAGGAGCTGTCAGTGTTGCCAGAACCTTCGATTTACCAAAAGATGTCAAAAGCACAGATTTTTGTTTTTCTAATTGCAAAACCTTCCAATTCTTAAAAGTGAACAACAAATTCACGTCTTGAAAAATCACGGTGCTGGACACATAAAACATATCTCAGGGCCACCTGCTGGTTGCCAGTTTGTGGCCTCTTCCTTGGAAGGAAGAGGTGATTCTTAGAACCACCCTCCCATTTTACAGGCAGGGAAACAGACCTGGAGAGGACAAAGGGTGCTTTTCCCAGGGCCACTCTGGCCCCAGCATCTCCTAATCCGCACTGTGGTCCCACAGGTCCCTTCCTGTCCCCTTACTTTCAACATCCCCCAGCTCCTCCTCGCCCTACCCCTGCAGGAGGGACCTTATCCTCGTCCAGTGGTATGACAAATTTCTTCCTTGTGGGTGGCCCGGCAGGCCGCGGCACCCCCTCTTCGTCCTTCCCGGGGTCCATCAGGAGCCTAAGAGGGAAGACATGGCGGCAGGAGCCAGTGAGACATCGGCATCTGCAGTCCCAGCCCCTCAGCAGGTACCCCCACTCACAGCCGTCCCCCAAAAAATATCCCAGGGTTCCACGGCCTCAATCCCCAAATACTCGGCGCCTGAGCTTCTACAAAGCCCCGCCCCATTGAACCTCCACCTTCGGCTCGCCCCGCCCCTCGCGGTCCCCAGGTACTGTTCGCTCCGCCCCCGCTGCTCCCCGCCTCGGGTTGTCCCGGCCCCCAGGGCTTGCACCCGGACGCCACCCCCACCCCCTCGTGCCGTGTCGTCCATAGCTCAGACACCGCAATGATTGGCTTCTGCGACCGCCAATCGCCAACCTCCGCTTCCCGCCCCTCTCGCCCCGGCCTCGCGGTCTGAGCACCGCGAAGACTCACCCGCTGGCCCTGAGGCGACGAAGAAAAGACCAGAGGGGGACCGAGTCGTCCCACCGCCAGCCCGGCCAGCGCGGCCCCAGGCTCGCCACACTTCCGGCCTCTCTGGCTCTCGGGCCCGCCCTCACCGCTCCCTAGTTGGGTAGAGCATAGAGTTGGGCGGTCCCGGGCACCTCTCTATGGTCCTGGAGGACCGCGGAGGTTTCGGGAGGAGAGAGTCGTGGGACTGAGGGCCCCGCTCCCAAGCGGCTCAGTTCCAAAGCGTTTATTGAGCCGTTGTGTGCCCGGGCACCCGGCCCCGGCAGGGCTCAGTGAAGAGATGGCAGACGGTCAAACTTGTTCCCTCCTCTCAGTACGGAGAGACTTGGGGTTTGAATCCCAACTCTGCAATTGACCTAGCCTCAGTTTCCCTATTCATTCATTTATTCCACACCCATTGCCCAAGCGCCTCCTTTGTTCCTGGCACTGTGCCTGCCGGCGCTAGTGACACAGCAGTGACCAACGACAGCCCTGCGCTGTTCTCTCGGAGCTTATAGTCCAGCGAGAGAGACAGACGCGTTCGCGTTTCCCAACAGTGACGACCCAGAACGGGCAGGGCTGGGATGGGAGACCTCGGAGGGCTGTGGGACTGGGGTTGGGGGAGCGCCTGACCCAGCCCAGGAGTCAGCAAGGGCTTCCTGGAGGAAGCGACATCTGAGCGGAGACCTGGTTGATGAGTTAGTATTAGTCATTTCCTGAAGGGATAGTATCACGCTGTTCCAACTTGCAACTCTCTGATTACTAAGGAAATAGAACATTTTTTTGTGAGTTTATTGGTTTTATATATTTTGCCTTCTGTGAATTGCTTATTCATATCCTTTGCCCATTTTTTAAATGGGTTCTATGCCTTTTTTATTATTATTAATTTGTAGGAGTACTTTACGGATTCCAATTCTAGTTCTTAGTCAGTTACATACCAGTATGTTGCAAATACTTCCTCCTAATTTGTACTTCATGTTTTAACTCTAGTTATTTTGGTCACAGAAATGCTTAGTGTTTATTTGCACCTATTCCGTCCTGACTTTTGCTTTTGGTATGTTGTTTAAGAGCCCTGCTATAATGCAAGGTCATCAGTATATATTCTGTCATTTCTATTAATACTTTATTAGTTTTGATTTTATGATCTGTCTTTAATCCATGTAAGATTTATTTTTGAAAGTGCACCGAGGTAGGTGTTTACGATGGATGTAGCCGAGTGTCTCAAACTGACCTCCTATTTTGACATCCTACCTTTATCATGTACCAAATTCCCTTATACACACAGGTCTATTTCTGACATTTCTGTTATCTTCAGTGATCTCTTTGTTTCTCGCATCCAGGTGGATGACCGTCTTCTGTGTCTCTTCACAACAGTCTTCCATCTCTGGGTGTCTGTCTCTATGTCTAAATTTCCCCATTGTGGCCAGGCACGGTGGCTCATGCCTGTAATCCTAGCACTCTGGGAGGCAGAGGCAGGAGAATCACTTGAGGTCAGTTCAAGACCAACCTGAGCAAGGGCGAGACCCCCTGTCTCTACTAAAAAATAGAAAAAAAAATCAGCCAGGCAACTAAAAATAGAAAAAATTAGCCAGGTGTGGCGGTGCACACCTGTAGTCCCAACTACTCAGGAAGCTGAGGCTGGAGGATCGCGTGAGCCCAGGAGTTTGAGGTTGCTGTGAGCTAGACTGACGCCACGGCACTCTAGCCTGGACAACAAAGCAAAACTGTCTCAAAAAAAAAAAATTTTTTTTTTTTTTAATTTCCTCGTTTTATAAGGACGTCAGTCATACTGGGTTAGGGCCATCCTAATGACCTCCCTTTAACTTGATTACCTTTGTTAAAGGCCCTGTTTCCAAATGGGGTCACATTCTAAGATACCAGGATTAGGACTTCAACGTCTCTTTGCAAGGGACATGATTCAACCCATAACAATTCTCTATTTCTTTTTACAGCCCTTTTCCTCCTAAATTCATTTTACTTCCGCTGGAGTACCTTCTCCACGGATTCTGTGTGAGAACATCTGTGAATAGTAACTTTCTCAGTCTTGCTCATCTGAAAATGTCTTTTGTTTTTTTCACCCTCACTCACAATTGGAATCTGGAATCCTGGGTTCTTAGTTCTTTTTCTTGCAAAACCAGAAGATATTGTTCCTCTTTCTCCCTGATGAGAAGTCTTCGGTCCACCTGATTCTTCTTCCTTCCCAGGCAGTCTGATCACTAGGTGTAATTTTCCCCCGGGGTGACTTACTAGCAGTGTGACTTTGAGCCAACAACTCATTCTCAAGGCCTGGCACCCAGAAGGGGCTACTGAACCATGTGTCATATGAATGAACAAAGAACAGAAGCTGAGCCCCAAGTAAAGTGACGTTACCACTGTGAGCCTCAGTTTCCCCATCTGCAACCTGCAACCTGCAATCTGCAGAGGTCGTGAGGATGCAATAAGACCTCAGAGTCCTGTCTTGAGATGGACTCATTCACTCATTCCTTGAATAACTAGCACATATGAAGCACCTACTATGTGCCAGGCACTGTGCTAAGCCCTGGGGACATAGCTGTGAGCAAATGAGACCAGGTCCCTGCTCTGGGGAGCTGATCTTCTCTTGGGAAAGAAAGACCGTTAAGAAGAAAATACACAAGAGTTTAGCAGCTGGGCACAGTGGCTCATGGTAATCCCAGTGACTCGGGAGGCTGAGGCAGGAGGATCACTTGAGGCCAGGAGTTCAAGACCAGCCAGGGCAACATAGCAAGATCCTTACTCTAAAAAATTTAGCCTGGCGCAGTGGCGCGGGTCTGTAGTCCCAGCTACTCCAGAGGCTGAGCCCAGGAGTTCAAGGCTGCAGGGAGCTATGATTGCACCACTGCACTCCAGCCTGGGCCACAGACTGAGAACCCATCTCTTAAAAAAATACACAGATAGCCATATATACTATGAAGAGGATAAAACACAATGATGTGAAACAGGCAATGGGGGAGGGGAGCCACACAGTCACAGAAAGGGAGCTCTATAAATAATTAATACACCCGTCAACTAAAAATCGATTGCACATTCGCTATTTCTAAGGCCTCGCAGTAACCCTCCCCTTAGGTATCACTAGCCCATTTGACAGATGAGGAAACTGAGGCCCCAGCAATGTAGAGAGGGACCATGGAAATATGTCTCTGAATCTACTGGCAGAGAGCGCCTGTCTAGAGAGAGGCCAACCGGGGTAGAAGGGCGTGACTCAGTTCTCCCCTTGGGGAATGGAATTGCCAGACTTAACCCTGCAACTCCTGCCTCTTCCGCCAGAGGGAGATGGTGCCCCACAAGAAGATTTGGAGGTGCGGGGGGCGCCGGGGCGCTCAGCCACAGTCCACACCCGGCAAGACCCCCGAGAAGGCGGCGGGCAGCCCCTTCCCATCTGCGGACCCGTTTCCTCGCCGCGAAAGTGTGGAAAAGGGGCAACTATAACGGAGTCTGTGTATTATTAGTTAAGGGCGGGGCAAAAGTTGCCCTCGGTCACTACATTATTCCCAAGTTTGATCTCTCCGCTCAATTTCAAAACCGAACCTTTGAATCCCAGATTCGAATCTTCCCGGTTCCCAGAGTCGCGAGTTCGACTCCTCGCGCTGCTCACGCGCTCGGATTCCGCGTCTTTCTTCCAAACACCCCAAGTTGGAAATCCAGCCGCGACTCAAGTTGCCCGGGTGACTTCTCGACGCCGACCCCCGCTCCCGTCCCAAACCTTCCCCGATCCTGACTTCGAGCCAGTCTTTTCTGCGCCCGGAATGGGGGGGGTGGGGAGGGAGGACCTGGAGCCCCTCGCTGCTAATTCCGCCCGAGGGGCTCTGGGCGGAGGGAACGGAAAGTGGCCAGGCCGAAGGCTCTGGAAGCGGGGGCGCGGCCGGGGGGCGCAGTGACCGGGCTGGCGTCCCCACCCGCCTCTAAACTTAGCCGCGGTGACGCGCGGCCCGGCGATCGCGGCGGGGCCGGGGACGCAGGGGGGCCCGAATGGAGGGGGGCGGCTCGGCTTGGCGAGCCTCTATTTATAGCGCCCGGAGACCGAAATAGAGCGGAGCGGAGCGGCCGGGATGACGCGGGAGCCGCCGGGGGCTGACTCACCCGGCCCCGAGCGGAGGCCCCCGGATGGGGGACAGTGGAGGCGCCTGGCCCCGACTCCGCGCCCTCCCGGCACCTCTTCTGCTGGGACATCCCAAGTCTCCACTGGATTGGCCGTGGATATGCAGCAAACGGGAAGGTCTGCAGCATGAGAGACTGAGGTTGGATCAGAGGTGGGACTTCCACCAAAGAGCCCAGAAGGGAGGAACTCTTCATACAAAAAGAGCGGTTGGGAAAGAAGGGAGATGAACCAGATATACACACCTTTTTCTTACCGGCAACAAAATCGAGACGATTGGAGGCAGAGGAATGACCACAGTGACGCTGGACAGTTGTCATTCCAGCTCATGTCCCCTTCTCCACTTTCCATGATTCCTTGCATGCTGTTTCCATTCCCTAGAATGCTCTTCCCTGCCTTCTCAGCCTCAGGAACTCCTGTACCCTGGAGACCTGGTACCTAGGACAAAACTCTGTGGCCCCACTGAACTGGGAGCCCCATAGAGGCACAGCCAGGGCCTTCTCGGTCATCACCACGTCCCCAGCACCGCTCAGCACTATACAGGCCTTAGGAGAGATGAATTGCATGAATAAAAGGTGTTGGTAATAAACTAAAATGATGTTTCCCAAATTACAATAGCAAATGTTGATTTTATGGTGTGTGCCAGGCATGATTCTGAGAGGTAGCTCCTATGGGACTTGCTACAGTTCCTCGAGGGATGTGCTTTTATTATTTTTATCATCATCGCCCCTGTCAGAGATGAAGAAACCAAAGCTCAGAGGGGCTGTAAGTCCTGATCTCGCTCTGCTTATAGTCAGAGCTGTCTCAAACCTAGGTCACCTGGCTCCGAGGGTGTTCGCTTCCCGACACACACACCTCTGGGCTCTCTAGAACCCCAAACTAGGGAGGGATTCTCAAAGTGCAGCCCACAGAACCCCGGGGGG